GATAATGAATATTTTCATTCATGAAGTGGTACACAGTTTAAAACTATCAGTCATTTTCCAAAAGAAGCAAATATAATCTCTTTAGAGACCTGACTCCAGAGAATAATATTTTCCAAATCATGAGGAATAGCAGTCATTAGAGCATCCAAAGGGAAAGTACCAGGAATGCAGACTCATCTGGTTGAGACAGGAATACCAGAAAAGGTATACTTGGTATTGAGTTTACATTACCTATCTATTCCCAGTTTCAGTGACAGAAAAGAGACAACTTTGTAGTTCTTGCAAAGTGAATGTGGTCCCTGGGGAAAGGGCCGAGTGAGGTCAAACTGAAGGCTCAACTTCTTTGGACTCATGCCAGTGTAATGAAGATGAAAACTTCTTACTTCATAGTGAAATGATAAAGAACTTAAATTTCAAGTGACTCCCTGAAAATATGCAGCCTGCTCTCCAGACATGAGAGTTGAGATGGATTAAAAACATGAACAGTGATTTAGTAAGAAAGGAACAGAAAAACTCTAATGCAGATAAATAAGACAGAGGCTGAAATTAAGAACTAAAAGGAAGCCTGAAGAGAAAGTTCCAAAGCAGCACATGAAGTTTTTCTTCCCTTCCCTTTCCCTTCTTCTCTTTTTTCTTTTCCTGTGGTGCTGGGATGGAATCCAGGACGCCTCACATGCTAAGTAAGCATTCTACCACTGATCTAGATCCCCAATCCTAAACAAAGTTTCTGAAATAGTCAAAAGGGAAAACAGGAAGATGCAACCTAGATGGAGGACACTGAAGGAAATAAGAAACCTGAATGAAAGCTAAAAATGGTAAAATCCAATCACACAGAATGTTAAAGTATTAGATCTTAAAAGTGCAGCTTGATAAATTTTCAAGTACACACCTACGCAACCACTGTCTAGATCAAGACACAGAACAGTTCCAGTGCAGTCAAGCATGGTGGTGCACACCTGTAATCCCAGTGCTTGGGAGGCTGAGGCAAAAGAATCACTGCAAAGTTGAGGCTGGCCTGGCCACATAGTGAATTTAAGGCCAGCCTGAATTAAGTAAAGAGACCCTGTCTCAAAAAATTAAAGGAAAAAAAAAAAAACAAAAAAACAACAGGTCTAGTGCCTCCTTCCAGCCAGTAACTCCTGATGCCCACAGCAAAATGACCACCACTGACTATTTTGGCTTGTTTTCGAACATCATATAAGTGACTCATACAGAATGTATTCTCATCTGGCTTTTTTCACTCAACCTTATTTTTGTGGGAGCATCAGTAATATGCTCCTTTTTATTGCCAAATAATAATCCATTGTATGAATATACTACAGATTTGTTTATTCATTGTCCTACTGATGGACATTTGGATTGCTTCCAGTCTTCTATTATAAATAAAGCAGCTGAATAAAACTGCTATGTGTAAGCATTCTTATGCAAGTTTTTGATGGACATACACACTCATTTTTTCTTGAGTATATGTCTAGAACAGGGTGTCATATCATAGGTAGGTATGTGCTTAACTTCAGTAGGGAGGCCAGATTTCTAAAGTGATCATATCAACTTTCTACTAGCAATGTTTGAGAGCTCTCATATAAAGTTTTTAAATTAATCAGTTAAGCAGTTTTGTGTGTGTGTGTGTGTGTGTGTGTGTGTGTGTGTGTGCACGCGCATGCATGTTAAGGTTTGAACCCAGGGCTCTGGCATGATGAGGACATGCTCTCCTTCTGAGCGACACCCCCAAAACCTCATTTAATTATATAAATTTTTAAATTTTAAAAAGCTCTTCAGCTGAAACCCAGAGTTTTGAGGGTTTTTGTTTTTTCATCATTTAGAACAGGCACAACATAACTAGCGTGATTGTATTTTAGAAGATATGCAAGATGATTTGGGGGTTGAAGGAAAAAATAGAGCTTCTATTTTAGTTTCTTATTCTTCTAGCTAAAAAGTAAACTTTGCTAATATTTAATATGTAAATTGACAGTAGCACCCTTATTCAGATAATTCTGTTTATTCACTTGGGGCTTACTGTGATTTACTGCCATTTGTGTGTGCCTGATTGAGCACAATTATGGAGTATTTAATTCAACTTCCTCTCACCAAGCGAACAAGAGACCTACAAAGATAATACTAATAAGTATAAACAAACAACAATACAAATGTCTAACTCAGAACTTCTATTTTAGAAAATGCCTTTAGAAGATAAAAATTATAGGGCTGGGGATATAGTTCAGCAAACAGCGCATGCCTGTCAGGCGCAAGGTCATGAGTTCGATTCCTGGTACCAAAAAACAAAAAGATAAAAATTATGACCACCTATAAGTTAAGACTTTTAAAAACGCAGACTTAGGGCTGGGGATTTTGCTCAGCAGCAAAGCGCCTGCCTGGCAAGTGCAAGGTCATGAGTTCGGTTCTCAGTACCAGAGAAAAACAAACAAACAAAAAAAACAACACAAAAAAACCGCAGACTTAATTGTACTGTTAATATTCTGCCAATAAAAATTTAAAATATTAAATATTTCTTATGCCATCCCTTTTTTCTTTGAGGGATTATTTTATCATGTATATGATAGTAAACACAAAATACAGGTACACTAAATTTTAAAGTGACCTTACATACACAGTATTAGTATGTGGAAAATCTTTTTACTAACAGGGTACATAATAAAGTATGCTGCATAGAAACAGCCAGCTGCTATTTAACATTAAAATAACATATCTGACAGTGTGGGAGAAGGAGGAAGACAGGAATCCACAGGAATCCTCCAGGAAAAGGCACGAGGAAATCTTCCTGCATGCTGGTGCTGTTCTGCACCACGGTAGGTATGTGTATTACACTATAGTGTATGCATCAGTCAAATTCACTGAATGATACATTTAAAATAATTATGTTTCATTCTATGTAAATTTTACCTTATAAGAAAAAAGGATATATAAAAATTGACTTCTAGTTAATTATGAGTATTCTGAAGTGTCTAGGAGTAAGTTACTATAGTGATGTTTGTAACTTACTTTAAAATGTATTAAAATAACATGGACCACTGTATGAACAGAGACAGCCATACAAACAGATACATGAGAGAGCAAACAGTAAATTTAATCATAAAATCTAGGTGCTAGATCCATGAGTTCTTAATACAATCCTCTCAACTTTTCTGTAAGTTTACAATTTTTCATGATAAAATGTTGGGAAAAATAAAAATCCATTCAAGAGCTGACAACTGACAAATATCAGTAACTAAGAACAGTGTAATGATACAAGGGTAAGGCAAAAATTTAAAAAGGAAAAATGTAGGAACCCTCAAGCATCACTAACTGGTGCTTTCAAATATAATAGTTTCCCCTTACCTGCAGGGTATCCAACATACCAGGAGATCCCTGAAACATAGCTAGTACCAAAGCCTGTGTATACTGTTTTTTCCTGCACATGCATACTACGATAAAATTTACAGATTAGGCACAGTTAAGACATTGACAACAATAATAAACAGTATAACAACATACTGTAATAGGTTATTAGAATGCAGTCTCTCTTCTTCTCAAAATATCTGATGGTACAATACTATATTTTTGGACTGGGGAAAGTAAAACCACAGATAAGGGAGACTACCATACTCTGGGTGTGGTGAGAATTATGCTCATTTTATAGGACAGTAAACTGAAACTCAGAAAGATTATAGAATACATCCAGCGTCACAAAGTATGAAGGCCAGCCAAGAACTGAATCCAATTTGTCCAAATTCTGAATCCTCTTGACCCACATTCCTCACAAGGGACTGGCAAAGATCAAACATCCTCTCTACAGGAGGGAAGTCCCTTTTCTATTCCGGCAAGGAACAGCCCTGCCTCTTAGAAGCTCCTCCCTACAGCAGGAACTGAAATCTCTCCTCAGGTTTTTCCTCTTAGGTTTGATACGTTGGGGCCATCCAGAATCTAATTCTCATGGCATGGCCTTAACATCAGGAGCAACTATGTGAAAGCTGAATAAGCAGGACTTTTTTTCAATTAGTATTTTATAACATAATCAACAAAGTTATAACTAGATATAAATGGGGATAATGCCTCACAGAATAGAGATGAAAATAATGAGAATGCAAGTGAAATATATATAACTAGGAATAGGAGCTCAAATACCTTTCTTTCTAATCTTTACCTTTACTTCGAAGTTGTAACATGTCATTCATTATAAAATAATACTTTTTTTAAACAAGAGTCTTTGGTCCTTTCCTAGAGTTTATGTTAAACGCATACAGATATAGATTTTTTCCTTGTTATCTATTTTATCAAAAAATCTGATGTATATTATTGCATTTCCTATTCCACTTTTGCCTTAGTAGAGAATTATAACTTTAGGAATTTTATGTACAATGAGATATACAACTAGGAGCACTTCTTCTGTTTTACAACTTACTACAGGTGGCCAACCTGTGCAAGCGACATGTTGATGAAATTTTAAGCCTTTTCTTTTTGACCTCTGGAAGATTCCTTTTGAAGATAAGATGTAACAAAGAAAAGAAAGCCACTGTATTAGAAGAAATGACCAACTGGTAATGGTAACCTTTAATTCACTTTTGAGTCTGTTATACATACTAAAGCTGTATATTTCTTATTGACAAACATATTTATGGATTCCTTAAAGGACTCTTAAAGTCACAAATCTTGCTCCTTTTTAAGCAACACAGTACTACTGCACATTTTAAAAACCAGTAATTCTAGTTGGAAAACTTTGTCTTATTTAAGGATGTACATACAGTTCAGACATGGAGAACTTACATCCGCAGCCTGGGAACCTGCATAAAATTGTTTTTTCCTCTAGATATCTGAGGTTGTTAGTGTTGGAAGAAGTCTTAAAAGAGGATTATTTTATACTGCGGAAAGGGATAGGCAGGCAGTTTAAATAAGTCTGTAACAGCCTGGATTAGACACCAGGTCCCCCAATTCCTAGCCCAATGTTCTTTCTTACAATCATGCCAAACCACATATTAAAACAAGTGCTTATGCCCATCCATTACCTCAACTTCACTACATTTCAGTGTGGCCACCCATGATGTCACTTCCTTTTGTGAATGGGTGTATTTTTCCCCCCTTGGTCTTGCTATCTTCACTAAACTACAATACAACATCTTAGAGCTCGCTCCAGATTATGTCAGTTCTTCCCTTGCCTATTTCTGTTCCTCAAGAGACCAATACAGTCTCCGAAACGCCCTGGCCATCCTTGCTACTATATTTCTTCATTCAAGTACTCAAATGCCAAAGACCCCAAAGCCTAAAAAGAAAAGATGGATTTTACAGCACAGGGCACACACGGTAGCGCCGTGCCCCTTCCTTGCCCCCCAGGCCTAACGAGAACGCTTCGCGCCGTGCGTTCCGAGCAGATGCTTTCTAGAGAAGCCGGCGACAGCGGCGGGCTGGCCGGCGGGCGGCGGCGCCGCGAGGGGTCGGGAG